AAAAAAAAAAAAAAAAAAAAAAAAAAAAAAAAAAAAAAAAAATCAGACGTTCATCAACCGATTTTGAGAGTAAAACAAGTATAATTCAGAACTCCAGCACATCATTAAAACATATAAAAAGTTTAAATAAGAGTGAAAAAAGGTGCAAAATGTTGTGAGCAACTAAGATAAAGGCCAACACAGAGCCCTCAAATGTAGTTAGTTATCTACTCATTATTTAATGGTAGAAAAACAAATAGAAAATGTGCATCAGCACCAACTATTTGCTGGAAGGGCTAATCAATCTACGAGAGACTAGAAGGGGTAAGCAAAATTTGAAGGGGTAATAATCGTATTCAAACTAGAAACCCATCCCTACAAAATGAAGAGAACGCACACAAAGCCTAATTTCACACGGCAAAATCACTTGAGAATATCACTGAATAAATGTACAGGCAAGGTTTCAAAGCCCTACCTCAGAAGAACCTGACAACGGCAACGAATTTCTCTGCTTCCTGCAAGCTCCTCCTCTTAGCCTCCTCTTACCTACCTAACCCACCCACCAACCTTGATTGCAAAAGCCCTCCATAACACTTTGCTGAGATACTCAAATTCATGAGGCGAGATCTGACTGTTCAAAAAACGCGGCCGAAAAGAACGTGTAATGATTTTTCAAAACATGGGACACTGTTTTCTTGGCTCTGGATGGGGTTGGGGATGGGGATAGGGTGTTATATACAGGATGACACACGTACCAAAATCAACAGGTTTTGTTGAATCAAAAATGTTCTATGGGGATCTCACTCTCGATTCGTTTCAAGGTTGGGGGGTGCAAAGTTTGTTTGTGAGTGAAGGGTTTAGTAAAGTACTAACATGAGTAAGGATCAGCAAACAGCTTTGTTTAGTCGGAGAGCATCTCTTCCAATTCAGGCTCCTCAGAGTTATTTGCATCATAATCCAAACTTGTTGCGTTGAAAGGACCTTTATCTTGAAAATCAGCTGGTTCTTCCTCTTCATCTGAGTCGCCACGTTCTGACTCATAATCATTATTTTGGTCGTCTATCGTCGCAGGCTCATCTCTCCTTGGTGTAATAATATCACCCTTACCATATGTTCTGGTTCCCGAGTCAGAATTCGGACGAGGCTTCGTATCTGCACAAATACAAGGCGATGGGTTTTCATGAAATTCACCCCTCCCTGGCCTCACCTCATTTGGCTCCCCCATGAAGCCTCTCTGATAAGTTCTAACCCTGGAGGAAAATGCTCTCCATGTCATGTTGGCTCTGTTCAAGAACAACCTATACAGCTTTTTGGCATTTGGACGAATGGTAGGCTTGTGTCCGAAGTATCTTCTGAAATAGAATTGAAATTTTAAAAAATTATTCATCAGCCAATATCCTTGCCATATTACCATTATTGTTTGTAAGAGAGAGAGATTCTGCACCTTCTTCCAGCCAATATCCTTGCCATATTACCATTATTGTTTGTGACAAATACATCGCTCTCATCGCAGACAATGAAATCAAGTGCAGCCATGCGAGAAGAATATGAAGAAAATTTCTCCAATTCCTCCTTGGAAGCTATGGTCTCTTTCGAATGGAAATTAGGAAAAAGGGCTTTCAAAGGGGCTAGCGTCTCTTCCCCTCCATAAACTTCTCCAGATGCCACATAGATATGAACATCCTGCCCATATCCGAGTGCTCTCAACATCAAACCAACCTCTTCTGGAGTCAGTGGACATTTTCCATGCCTCCTCTCTTTATCAGGATTGCTTGTTTGCTGAAATAAATTCAAAGTAGTTTTATACAACAGATCATATACACATGTTACTGGTTGTCATATTATGTTTGAAATAGCACTGAGAAAATAAACCCATCTGGTGCTTGAAACAAATCTTTGCTTACACATGAACTATAGAGGACCCGGCTCACAATTGTTATGCTATTTACCATATTCCCCAAACAAGGAATAATTATTCCCCCATAATTATTCAAACACAAAAGTCATTTGGCCAGTCGATTTTGTTTCACGGACTTGCAAATAGTAGCATTGCAATTTCTGTGCATAATTCAAACGAATGGATTCACATAATTAAAAATAGTCTTACATGTAATGTTTTCCATCGCCTTCGAATCGCTCCAAGTTCTCCCCTTTCCTTTTCACCTCCACCATAATAGCAACCTGAGAATGCTAGCATATCTGGTTCAAACCTATGGTAATACGCAAATGTTTGGATCAAAATCACAACTGATGTCCAATTCTGCAATAAACTTCGGTATGCATTACATGACATGGAATCAAGAGTAAACAAACTATTATTCTATGACACCATATGCATATTAGAATTTAGAAGATTCAATCAGACAATGAAATTTATTTGTTTGCAGATTCTATATTGTGAGCTACAAGAGACAGTACAAAACACCTACAGAACATGTGAATATCTTAGTAAAATTAAATGTGTTTCCAAGAGAGATGAAAACTGGCACAAAAGCATTTTGTATTTCATCTCATCAAAGCAATTTCTGATGAATTATTAAAATCTGCGTGCATTTACTAAATGAATCATTTGAGAACAATACACCTGTGGAACTGTATGCTATAAAAACTAACCAATAAATAGAAAAGATGAGCAATTAATCAATAATAGTTCCATAACGACAACTACAATAATTTAGGACCAAAGGCTTATCATCACATACCTGAGATGCAAAGCAATGTAATGCTTGCTTCTTGCTCGCATTCGTTGGACCAAGTTTTCACCCATTTTCTGTATTGGGTCTGTGAATTTCAAGGCATGGTAGTTAACTCTACATCTCAGTTTCTGTAAATCTGTCTCCAACCTGTTTGCAAGTCTATAATCGAACTTGGAGAGCTGAATAGCCTGACACATTAAGAATACATTTAAAAGAGCACATAGACCACTGTACAAAGTTTCCAACAAATGCATGCAATTGAAACAAGTATAAGAATTCTATGCTTGTGCTAGTAATTGGAAGCTGAACAATAAGAAAGGTTGCATGTTTACGTAAGCAAATGGGTTGTAGAGAACGGACAACTTACATGCCTTTTCAAAAGAACAGGTAATACACGGGTCTGATAACATCTTTCACTACACTTCCTAGGGACACGCATTGAGTGCGTATTCCATGTTTTTCCACCCCTCTTTGGTAGCTGATGAATGATTTTCACATCTCTTGAAAGGAATGACACAAACCAATCAACATCGAAGATCTCTGAAAAGTTGCTGTGGAGAAATAACAAACACATTTTTATAATATAACGAGGATAACTAAAAGCAGAAGTCGACTTTATTTCATATAACGTAACCAACCTGGAGTCCCTCCAAAAGGACTTCTGATCAAGCTTAGGCACAACAAGGGTAGCATTTAATATTCGTGCAGCAACAACTGCATCTGTTATCTGCCATTAGGAGCTTTAGTCAGTTTGAAAATAGCTATAGAAGTAAAGAAATCAATTAAATTTTAGCACCAAAAGGACAGGCAATAACACAATTATCTGAGACCATTTGAGAGGAGGGCGTTAAAGTTATGGAAGGCATATAAACTAATAATCCAATAATCAACAGCTGCAAAGCCTGCGCATGCTCTATTCAACATAAATTATGACCACTCACGACACATCAAATTCAAACGCATTTTTTCTGTTATCATTTACATAACATTCAGTTTCATTGGGATCCTCTTGATCAATCTTTATGGCTAATGAATAGCAACGCAATACAAAATCGTCAACAAGAAAAATGCAAGCCCGTGGCATTACCCCAGTTCTTTGTTGATTTAAACCTCCACTAGTTGCGATCAGCAGATATCGATTCGGGTGTGTAATAGCACTAGCCTCTGCAGCAATGTGGGAAAACATTAGTTCTGCTTCTCAGACAAAAAAGAACATCATATACGATGCGAGCTCAGTACAGCGAAGGTTAACATGAACTCTACTTATTTCTTTTTTATTTTCAGAATTAAATCAATTTATGAAAGGAAGAAAAAACTAAAAAAGAAGAAAAAAAAAAAAAGAAATTGACAAGATTAATGTAGGGATCTAATTATCTCTAAATCTTCAGGAGAAAATACGGTAACTTCGTTCCTTCCAATTGCATAACAGATAAGAAACTTAACGTCTGAATGCACCATAAACTTGTATTAATTAGAAGTGTAGAGGGCAGGGAGGAGCTTGGAATTCCACAGAAACATACTCTGAAACTTATTGCTAGCATTAGTACATCCAGAGTAGAACTTCGCATTTCTGGAAGTCCAAAGATCACGGGCGGATCTCGCTCCATTGCGCTGGTTACAAAAACAAGAAAATCACGTCAATAAACAAAGATCGGTCAGCTTCAGCATCAACTAGGATAAACAGTAAAAGACACTGAAGTGGAAAATTCCGGAAAACCCTAACCGGAACGCGAAAATGCGAAACTCCAATCTCCTCGACGGAAGCAGCATCGAACTGAACCTATTCCATGGGGGCGGGGGTGAATCAGCAATTAGAATCGAAAAAAAAATAATCAATCAAAACACGAGAAATACAAAGTGGAAGGTGACATATACCGGAGGAATGCGGCGGGAATGATCGGAATCATTGGGAGAAGGAGCGAGAAAAGAGAGAACTGCAAAGAAGAGAAGCAGACTACCGCTAATGGCCAAAATGAATGGGATTAAGAATCTAAACCGATGATAATAGTGGTTGCGCCGCCGCTGAAAAGCCATAGCTCCTGGTGACAGTGACCACCGAAGCTCCTGTGTCTCTCTGAATCACTCTTCGACTCTGGTTGGGAAGGAGGAAAACGGGCAGAAGAAGATGGAAAGAAAAAAATGAAACGAAAATGGATCTCTGTGTGCTACGGCTCCAGCATAGGCTGAAGAATCCTCATCTTTTTTCTTTTCCTGAAAAAGGACACTCTGTCTCCAATAACGACAACGGAATCGGAGAAATAAAATATATAGCTTACTGTCTATCTAACGCAAACGATTCGTCGGAGAGTTGTGGGCCGCCCGGCCCATCTTGGTCCCTTTGCTGGCACTATCTTTTTATTTATTTATTTATTTAATGCGTATTTCCAATTCTACCCTTCCTTTCCATTTGCATGTGACTCCTTTTTCTGCTCTCCGTACTCTGCAGATTCAACTATTTTCGACTTTTAAATTCTTTTCTGTTTTTTTTTTTTTTTTAATTTTAATTTTACGATAACAATTTGTTTGAAGCTTCAACCAAAATGTGGCCAGTTTCTGTACGACGGCGTTTTGGTTTACCTGTATAGCCAAAATTAGGATTAAACTTAGTTTCTTTCTAATTACTTCTATGGCCAACGTAATCTTCTAATTAAGGTTAATCTTCTAGTCTTGATATCCGTAACAAATTGCTAGACAAGTAGATAACGTACCCACTAAATAAACTTTGATCGTTTCGATTCGACGTGATATGTCACTAAAAAGGGCTACTGATTATTTGTATTTGGACGCTCTCCAAGTAAAAATACAACAATTGTTTTGATCTCTTGTTCTAATTCCATGTTGAAAAAACGAAATATTCAACTTAAGTAGCGTAGAACAAAGAGCTTAATGATTTCATTTTCATCTATTAGGCTGTGTAGCCATCATCATAGGAACTTGCAAGTCTCATTGCCCATGGACTCTGATTAGTGGAGGAACAAAGGGAATATCCCAGCATGGCAGACCATCTCAAGTTGAGAAGGGCAAAACTTAGGCTCTCTTCAGAGCATTTGAAGAATTCCAAAATCCGTGATTCCGCTTCGGAGTCTTCTGCAAGCACAAAGTCTTCGACATATTCTGTAACGACTGGAGAAGTGTCGTGTTCTTTGCATAGCATACGCATGCTCAGTACTTGCAGTGCTTCCATGGCGGTGCTGTGATAGCCAAGGCTCACATATGCCGAGAAGACACTATGGCACGTTGAAGGGTCGGGCTGGATCTTTTCTCGCTTCATCTTCTCAACGACAAACTCAATCACATCAATCCTTCCCTAACATCCATTTCAAAAAAAAAAAAAAAAAAGTACCCAGAATGAGCTTAAACAGTTGTTGGGGCCCTGGAATTATGCATGGGTGCATTGAGAGTGTTGTTCTTATCAAGTTACTGACATGAAGCCATGGGGGTTACCTTTTCACAAGCTTTCTGCACGATTGTATTCATTATAACTACATCAAGTTCAATCCCTTCTGAACTGGCTTGATCTAAGAGATTCAAGGCATCATCAAATCTCTCAAATCCCAGCACAATCTGCATCAGGATAATCCAAACGTTAAATTTGAATGATTGAATAACACGATAAAGGAAAAAATTAATGGTAAGAAGAAAGAGTATCAATTGGCGATGATTGACATGGAAACTTATGGAAAATTTTATTAGTGCATCCTCCAGAGAGTTCAATCACCAAGCTATTAGGATTGTTCACTAGTGTTGGCAATATACATGAACCATGGGTGTCGAGTGTCGGGGTTCAAGAATAAGTTCGTGAACAGCTTTTGAACTGTACAATGGCATGTAAATCGGCCAAACTCAAGGACAGTTAAAAGAAAATATGATGAGATGGAATCAGCAACTTTAAAGTTAACAAACTCTAAATCTGAAAACAAAAATATATAGTTGATAGTCCACAATGCTTGATCTGTTAAATCAAGATGAATACTTCAGGAGTATACTTGCAGTGAGTAAATGTACATGCCTAACAATCATAAATTCATTGGATACCTTTACTAGACTGGTATAAGTTAATATCTGAGGACAAAACCCGGAGCGAATCATCAGGGAGAGAAGAGCAAACGCAGATTTCAAGCATCCGATAACACTGCAACAGTCGATCATCATCTCAAATGTCGCAGCATCTGGAAAGAGACCAGAATGCTTCATATTATTGAATAATTCTGTTGCCATATGGATCTGCAAAAGTATAGAACAGTGTTTAACACAAACGGGAAGTCCTCCATAGCTTAACAGGAGAGAGTGCATGACAACAAGCGCTTACCTCTTTGGATTCAACTAAAAAATGCAACGCTGTGTTGTAAATAGGCGTCCCCAGACAAGTGTTATTGTAATAGAAGAGGTTCTCTGCCACATTTAAATACTGAAGAAGCTCCTTCGTCATCCCCTCCGCACCAAGAGCTTTCAACTAAAGGGAACAAATGAATCAAAGGAAAAAGAGAAACAATAATAATGCCATAAGCAGTGAGGGAACTTAATTCTTCCACTTGCTAATATGGTTCAAGTAGAAAGATTTTACAACTATAGTAACAAATAAAAATAATTTAATTGTGCGCCCAATGCTCTTCCTGCTATGTTGTAGTGCTAAATAAGATTGGTCCAACTTAATTTATCAAAACCTTTTACCAACATGTAAAACAATTCTCGAAGTGAAACGTGAGCATATATACACATCAAAGAACATCTGCATGGATCCCGAGAAGATGTTCTTCCAACAATATCGACGGTGTAGTGTACATATAAAATGAAAGAGACTTTGAAACGAGAATCAAATAGAGCTTGAAATTTTGGGAGGAAAGTAGATGGGGTCCTGCAATGTGTCAGACGAGCATATACAACTGCAAGTTTTTTTTTCATTCCCCCCCCCCCCCCCCCCCCCCCC